ACACGGGCCTCTAACTGTTGTGGCCTCTCCCATCACAGAGCACAGGCTCCGGACGTGCAGGCCAGGCGGCCACGGCTCACGTGCCCAGCCGCTCTGCAGCACGTGGGATCCTTCTGGACCGGGACACGAACCCGTGTCCCCTGCATCGGCAGGCATACCCCAACCACTGCGCCACCAGGGAAGCCCAAGGGGGAGAGCATTCTTGACAGAAGGAGAGGTGACACTCCCCGCGGCTAGAGAAGAGGGCACCTTGCTGGTAGGTGGGCCCAGCTCTAGTTCTGGCTTTGGGTGACCCTGGACAAGTGGCCCTGGCCCCCAACTTCTGCATCTCACCCCTGAAGACAAGGTCACCCCCTTTGCATCTTATAGTCTGCTACTGGGGTGAGAAGGCCAGATACCCATTTTCCAGAGCTCTCTCCAGGGACCTTCATGGACTCTGTACATCTTGGAACCAAAATGTTTAAAAAAAAAAAAAATCACAGGAGAGGTAGAGGCACCCAGTCCAGCCCAGAAAGAGGACCTGGCAGGGCAGAGACCAAAACGCCATGCAATCAGTGGCAGCCAGAATGAAACAGGAAAGGCCTGAATTCATCAGGTGGGAGAGGGGCACGGGGCTACTGTTGAATGAAATGGGCTGAGGGCAAAAAACCCACCTACTGGGCAGAAAAGGGACTGGAAAGAGGCCAGTTTGATGCACAGAAATGTAAAGTGGCCAGCAAGGGTGGAAAGTTCCACCGGTTCCTGGTCCCCTCCACCTGCAGGCCTCTGCATCCAGGGTGGTTGTTGATCATAACTTGAGGTCGGGCCAGTCCCCAGTACCCGCTGGAGTCCGGCACCTCCAGATACGTGCTCTTTGAAGTGTGTTCTAGGATAAAAATGGTACCCTGAGGCTGTCTGGCCCTTACCAAAGATGGATTGCCCACGCTTACCAAGCCGGGCGGGCCCTCCTGGAAGGGCTTCAGGCGGGATTGACAGGGAGAGTCCCGAGGCACAGCCAGCTGCTGGAAGCTGGGGTTATCCAGGGATTACGGGGTCCCCCCGACAAAGGGCAGGGCTCAAATAAAGTCAACGGTTTGAAAAGCTTCTATACCCCAGCAGCCCTGAACGCCGCCTCCCTGACATGACCAAAGCTAAAGCAGGGAATTTGCACAAGGCCCTTTGAGCTGGTGAAGAAAGTCCTAGGCACTGACTGGGCACCCTTCACGCACAAATGATTCGCTCTTAGCAAGCCCGGAGGCCCCAGGGACCCTGCGGCCCATATCCCAGCAGAGTCAATAAAACAGGTGTGAAATGTACTTCCCATATCCCAGCAGAGTCAATAAAACAGGTGTGAAATGTACTTGGCTGTGCAGCCAGCCTGAGCACCAGTTACCTGAGCTGCCTCCACATCTATTCCCACCCCAGGAAGGACTCAAGAATAGGTTTTAAAATATGTTTCTTCTTGGGGCTTCCCTGGTGGCGCAGTGGTTGAGAGTCCGCCTGCCGATGCAGGGGACACGGGTTCGTGCCCTGGTCCGGGAAGATCCCACATGCCGCAGAGCGGCTGGGCCTGTGAGCCATGGCCGCTGAGCCTGCACGTCCGGAGCCTGTGCTCCGCAACGGGAGAGGCCACAACAGTGAGAGACCCGCGTACCGCAAAAAAAAAAAATATATATATATATGCTTCTTTTTGTAAAATCAACATTCTAATAACGTGGCTAAGCTGGTGCAGCTGGTGGCTCGGAGGTGCCCACCTGGCCTCTGGGCTGCAAAGGCCACTGGCCCGACCACCCCAAGGCCAAGAGGCCGCAGTTCGAATGTCACATGTTGGAGAAGTCCCATCTTGACCACACTTTCCGGTAGAACTCAGTGCCCTCGCAGGGGGGCCTAAAATTTTGCAGGCAGGCCCCAGGGGTACGTGACGCTGTCAGTACGGCTGATACTGTTGATGTGGAGGCCGCTGATGGCGTTCAGGAAGATGAGGAAGGAGGCTGTGAATTTGCTCCAGAACATCAGGCTGAGGCCCATGAGTGTGACCTCGTTCCTAAGGAGCGTCAGGAAGCTCAGGAGGCCCCCGAAGGAGAGGATGGACACGAGGAGGAGGAGGGCGGAGCCCATGGCCCACTTGTGCCACGGGTGGGCATCCTCGGACACCTGGGACACCATGAGGAGCTCCAGGCCAAAGATGGCGACCACCATGGCCAAGGTGGCCACGCTGTGGGCCACAGCCATGCCCGAGGCTAGCCTGGGCACGTGGGCCTGCCTCAGGTCTCGGAGGCAGTGCAGCTCAGCCTGGTTCGAGGTGGTGCAGAAATGCCACAGCCCGAACAGACGGTCGTCGGCCAGGAGCCAGTGGCCATCGCAGATGGAGAGGGAGGTGAGGACCATGGCCAGGGAGGCGCAAAAGATGATGAGGGCCCGGATGGAGGGTTCAAAGAAGGACCGGCGGGGCCTCCTTTGGGCCAGCAGCTTCTGGGCCTGGAAGACAGCACGGGGAAGCATGAGCGAGGGCCCTCGCCACAGCCCACCAGCCTCCTCAGGGAAGACCCAGAGCACACCTTGTAGCTTCCGACAGACACAGTTTCTGCTTCGGTCTCCCAGGATGCCCGGGAAGCCCACCTTAGTCACAGCACAGACCCACCCCCTGGTGGGGCGGGGGGGACCCTCCTCCCATCCTACCTGTTCCCCATCCGTCCTCCATTCGAGACCTATAAGCATTGCCTGTGGATCCAGTTATTCATCAGGCAGAGTTCCCTGACCTTTCTTTAATGATCTTTATAATGCGTAAGAAACCCAAATTGTATTGACAGGCAAATCTTGGTCCATTCTGAAGTCAGCAAACCTGTCTGGCTTGGCAGATGTGACCTTGAGCTAGCAGCCAGCCTTGGTTTCTCTGTATGCAAAACAAGAATACTGCATTAGATATTATTAGCACATCAGTGAAGGTTACATAACTCCCTCTTCTGGCCCCAGGTCTTCCCCAGTTTCATTCTAATCTGCACCCAGCTTTTTCTGCACTTTTCTTCAGTGCGCAGTGATGTTTGCACTTTGCCCTTCAGTCTGGCTCAGCCTGTACTCCGCCCAGGACAGGGCACCGCTGTCTGTTCTAGAAGCTTCTGGGCGGGGGAGTCCCTGAGGCTCCCCTTCAGCCTATGGTTTCGGCCCCACAAAAGTACACCCTATCCTCTCTCCTGACAAGCTGGGCCAAGCGTCCAGTGAGGTGTCCCATCTCACAGCCCCGGGACACCCCCAAGCCACCGTCCCCAACGCCCAACCTGGAAGCAAAAGGAATGCTTCAAAGGGTAAAACTCCGTAGACGGCCCACAAGCCCTCCCAGGGCATCCTCCCGCCCACCTCGAATGCCTAGGACAAGCCTAGCACTTTCCTCCTCACATCTACTGGTCCCTCCACCTGAAAGGCCCTTCTCCCGGCTGCCCCCCTTTCTCCATTCTTCATGTCTCAGCTGAAACATCACCTCCTGGGAGAGGTCTGTCCTGCCCACTCGACCCACAACGGACCCCTCCGGTCACTCTCCGTCAGGAACCGTTCTGACAAGTTTTCCATTCCTGTCTGATTCATAGTGGGAGGGCATGACCGTGTCCCCGGCACCCGGTGCCGTGCTCAAGAGCCAGGAGGTCGAGTTTGCAGCCGCTGTCACTTCCATCTGAAGCTCCCTTTAAACCATCCCCTGCCCAATCATAACTTTCGCCCTTTACAGTGTGTGTGGAAGCAGGCCAGGTCATGCCCCAGTTTGAGAGGTAAGCAAAGCACACAGCTCATGCCTGACGGTCAGTGCTGGGAAGCAAACTGAAAGGGGACTCGGGGGGTGAGCCCTATGGCACGTGCAAGTGGAGACTTCCAGAAGCGGTCTGGGCCCCCCCTCTCGGTGAGGGGCAGAAAGCAGAGCCACGCTACCGGGAGGCCCCGGGATCCTTATGGATCCGGCTTGCTTTCAGCACTTCTGCCTAGTTAGGTTCCTGTCTCACTCTTAAACCTGAGTCTGGTGGAGTAGGGTGCTCCATGGTGGCGGGAGGACGGGGCGGGGTAGGTAAAAAGGGAAACTGTCACACACAGGTCAGGGGACCAGCCCAAGAGCATTGACCGAGATCACAGTAAAGCCTGGCACAGCTGCCCGACAACTGTATCATGTGTAGTAAGGGGAAAGGAAGCACGCAGCCGGTAAGTACCCACTGGGGCCTTCGTGGGAGGGGATCAGTACGGGTTAGAAGGGCTGGAGTGGCCAGAGGGACGCCCAAGGGCTCGGGACCCGACTCAGACCAGAGGCAGAGGCAGTCGGGGGCGCTGTAAAGAACACTCAGGCGGGGAGTCTGGGCTCTGGTTCTCAAACCGCATGCCCTTGTCTCCTTGAGGCCTCCAGGTGCTAAAGCAGGGGGCAGGGGGTCAGCTCCCAGCCCCTCCCTTCAACCACAACAGGTCCCTCTTACCTGCTGGAGCCACTGGGAATCTAAGAATCTGTACTGGATTTCATTCGGAAAGCACGGCTCTACTAAGAAACAAACCAAGGGAACTTTGAAACCTCTGCGACTACAAACCATAAAGGTGTTTGTCTTTGCGAGGTTTCTTAACCTCCTTGCCCCTTATTTTCTCATCTACCGTTCCGAAGTTACATTTTGTAGCAGGAGTTAGTGATCCCTGCAGGAAAGAGTAGCCATGGAGGCACCCGGAGGGTATAACTCCCTACAGGTTGATAAGTTTCTAGGATGGGAAAACCCCAGACGCAGGCAACAAGTCACAAGAACGCAGCACCCAGAGGCCTTTTGACCTCAGACATCACACTGTCTGGAGAAAAAGCACATGCCATCCTACCGTCAGCCCCACCTGTCCTGCACACAGAGTGAACTTTAATCTCCAGGCCCTCAGACATCACACTGGGATCAGGAAGACAGCTGACATCAGGTCATTTTCCCCCTCCCACCCCAAAGGAGGGCATCATTCAAACTCTGACACCAGTAAAACTGCCAAGGATTCAGTGAGATCATGTATATAAAGGTGCCCAGCACAGAAGCACTCCCTGATTAATATTAGTAACAGTAATAAGGTAACTCGGGAGTCCTCCTTCCTCACCCCTGCCTCACACCCCGGCTGCCGGCACCTCTGTGAGCTTCCAGTGATCCAGGGCCTGAAATCCTCTCCCGGAGGGCAGCTGGGCAGCAGCGTGGTCAGCGGAAGGTCCGTGGACCAGAGGGTATGAGGGCAGTCTAGCCCTGCCCCTGACCCACCAGCCTCTAGCTCTGTGACCTTGGGCAAATCACTTAAATCTCTTAGGGCCTGGACCATCTCCACTGAAAAAAAAAAGAAAACTGGAAGCATTTCCCTTTTTCATCCAGAGCCCCGAATGATCAGTAGTGACCTGTAGAACAGTGTCACTTGGCACTCCTGGGCCACTGAGGCCAATGCCCAGGTCTTGTCTTCCTCTGGAACCCAGGACCTCATCTGATCCCGTCAACCCCTAAGTAGTGGACACTTTGGGCTGCTCACTACTTTTCTCCACATCAAGCCCCCGCCCCGCGCCCCTGCGCTTCCCCCCCCCGCCCCCCCTTCCCAGTGCCCACTCAGCCCAGGCCCAGGTCAGACCCTCCCCCTCTTCAGCTGGAAATCTCTGCAGCCTCCTAAAGAGTAAGCCCGCTCCGCCTGCGTGACCGCAGGGCCCCGGGAGCCAGCCCGCTTGCCTTTTAGCTCTTTGGCCTCGGGCGAGCTATTTACCCCCTGAAGATAACAGTACCTGCCTCCTGGCCCCCCGGGGGGAGCCGAAAGGAGACCTAAGCACCCCAACCGCTTAGAACAGTCCCAGGTAGGCGGTCGTGTTCCTAAGCATCAGCCCCGCCCCCTTCTTTCACTAAAAAGGTCAAGTCTGTTTACCTGGCTGCTCTCCTGCCCTCCCCACCCCCGTGAATCCTGCCGCCGTTTCTTCACCTCTTAATCTAGCACTCGCTTCCCCAGACCGCTCCTAAATCCCGGTGTGCCCGTCTCTCCCCCGCAGGGCCGTCGGCTCCCGAAGGCGGGACCGCACCCGCTCCCACCCTCCTCACTGCCGGTCCCGGAGGCGGCTCGGCCGGGACCCCAGATTATGCCCAGAACGAGAGGAACTCCCTGCATCCG